CAGAAATTACAATATGGATATACAGTTATACTCAGATCCACCATATTTTAGTGTTTAGGCACAGAATGCATTTATATTTACTAGCAGGCATACCAGAGTGAGTAAGAAAACATGAGTGGACTCTACTTTTATATTTGCTCAAATTTTGGCTGAGAATTCTGAAGCAGCCATTTTGTATTTTGGCAAAAAGCATAAGGATGAAAATTCCTCAAGCATGTTAACTTTGATTAAACAAAATCAAAGAGCCTCCAAATCCTTTGCATATATAAAAGTTAAGCCACACTAATAAAAATACCCATTTGTTTACGCAGTCCCTCCATTCCCTAGAAGTGATTTTAAGAAAAAAAAAAAAATCTGGATTGGCTTTCACTTTGCTCTCAGCTTTTCTGGCATTTTTGCACAACTAGAAACTTTGAAAAAATGGAAGCCTTAACTTGGACTTTTTGCTTCGTTGATAAATGCCCTCTCACATTCTGGTTTAGATGTTGTCAAATAACTCTTCCAATTTATTATAAGTTATACAGTGCATTATTTCCATACTTACACTAACATCATGCTCTAACTCAGCAAGCAATTCAAAACTATGTCGCCTAGTGCCCAAGATCTCTGCAGGAACACACTGCCACACCTATGGTACAAACATACCAATTTGTTCAAATACACATTGGGATAGTTACTTGTGTAAGCTTTTCTATTACCTAGTTCTATTACTGTAAGGTAAGCTGCTTGTACTAACTGAGAGCTGTACAGAAGTTACAGTGAACATCTTCTGTATTTTCAAGTTCAAAGTTAGATTTACATTTGTTTTGGTTTAACATTAATGCTCTTAACAGCCTCAAGTGCCCTGACAAACCATGAAAAACACTAGGGGTGCACTGAAAGATTTTTTTCAGCCAATACCAATGGCCTATTATTAACCAGCTATATCGGCTGATACCAATCTGGCAGCTTGGAGACCAGCATCTGGCCAGTAAGTCTGTGGGGGGAAGAGGCAGATGAAGGCTCCCACGGTGAGGGAGGGAGTAGGGCTGGGGTAGGGGCATGGGTAGGCTCTGCCCAGCTGGGGCAGGGCATGGGACAGATGCATGTGTGGGGCAAGGGTGGGCAACAGTGCTGGGAGGGGGGCTACAGCCACCCCAAAATTCACTGTAGTCCCCCATGGTCCCCCTTCTAGTGCCGCCCACCCCTGCCCCAAGCGCAACCCTGGCCCAGCCCCCCCACTGGGAAGAGGCTGGCACAGACTCTGGGCCCGAGCCCTCAGCCCACCCTCACCCCATGCACAAATCTGGGGGGGGGGTACATGCCTTCCTCAGGGGGTGCGTGCAGTGGTGGGAGCTGCCACCCCCCCAACCCCGATGAGCTGCCCACAACTGTCCCATGCCCCACCCCAGCTCTGCAGCACCTGCCCTGGCCCCACTCCCTCACTCACTGTGGGAGCCTTGATCTGCCCTGCCCACATTCCCCCCCACCCGATTTACCGGCCAGATGCTGCTCTCTAAGCCGCTGGGGTGCATTCCTGGCCATGTGCACGCTGTGGCTGCGCACATACATGCATTTAAAAAACAAAACAAAACAAAAAAAACCGGTGATACTATTGACCACATCAGCCAAAAAAAAGCTGATTGCCAATAACGTCAATTTTCTTTTTACTGGTGCTGATATTATATGGATTGATATATCAGTGCACCTCTAAAAACATGTCTGCAACAAAAGTGCTGAATACCAGCAGCATACTCCATTTAAAGTCAACAAACACCTCCCTCACTGAAAAATTCAGATCTCCCAATGCTCCAAAGAGATTAACTTGGTAGAATGCACTGTGTCAGATCGATCTGAAATCTGTCATCAAAACAAAAATGAATTTAAAAAAGTTTGGGGGGCAACATCACACCAGCAACCTGCCCATACATAGGAGGTATGGATTTTCTAGCTCATTAACCTATGCTTCTGGACAGAGAGAACCAGTCAGACAAGGCAGATCTTATCCTGGCTTTAGTGGCCAATGCCAATGCTTTGATCTTCACCAACAGATATCTAATGAGGGTCATGAAGAATTGATGCTATTAAGATACTTCATCTAAAGAGCACATTAACTATAGCATTTGACTGAAACCAAGATACAGCCTAATATAGACGAGATAAAAGTCAGTCACAGTGAGTTTAAGTTTGTTGTTTATAATCTTTATGCACGACAAAACAGCTGATCAGCTCCAGACTGCATTGCAATCACCTTGGTGTAAAATTGATGGGAACAAACAGTAAAGTAACTGACACACAAACCTTCACAGTGGAGTCCCAAGATGCAGAATATAAGCGATCATCATGCCAACATATCTTGCTGACAGCATCATCATGTCCCATTAGAACATCTTGCTGTCTTCCAAATGCAATTGAATAAAAATAGCTAATAGGAAAAAAATAGTTACAAAAGCAGTATTTAAGAGAAAACTTTTAAAGACATTAAACTGTTTTGGCTTCTGCAATTTCTAAACAGAAAAATAGTACAAGCATCTCAAGCAGCTTATTTCCATGTCCATAATGTAATTAAATATTAGCAACAGAAAGCAAATACATACATGTGATTATCCCACGAAGAACATATGACAGTTGTATCACCAGGCAAGATCAAACAAGATGACAAGGCCTATAACAAGAGAAAGGAAAATAGTTTTATTTGTTGCCAGATATCACAGAATTCAATTAAATTACATTAGCGCATTTCAGAAAATAGCACAAACAATACCGATCCTACACACACATATTTTAAGAGTGTTGTGACTAAGAATCAGGGGCTCACTCTTATTAAATTAAAAGCAGATATTGGCAACTTTTATGAATTGTGGGCTTTTGTTTGTGACCCAGCCACCATTGCAGGTTGCTGATCCCTTGCTGCCCCTACCTCTCTTACTCTCTTGCACCTTCCCTCCCCCCGCCATCTCCACTTCCTGTCACCAAGTGCCACAGAATCCCATGACCAATGATCACGTTGAGGCACTCATTCAGCAGCAAGGGTAGAGAGTACGTAGGGATGAAGTGTCAGCAAAGGCTGTGCAGATAAGCAGTGGAACAGTGCAGG